CGGAATTTATCCACATAAATTGCATTGTTTTAAATATGCTACAAATATAAGGGGAGCAGTCTATTCTAGATCATTCTGAAAGGAATAATGATATATTAATTGCATCATTATGTGCATACAGTAGGCCTACAGTGTGCATGAGCCAATTAGGATGTGGGGTGTATCATGCATGTTCCCTTTCTGCATGCCAATTTAAATCTCCCTCTCTTGGCGATGCAACTTCCGCTTTCAGCTCCATGTACAGCCACTCTCATTTTTTCATCGAGAGATTATACGGCAGCTTGAGGCGGGGAGGTAAACTTTTGGCAATATCAGAGTGAAGGTTCACAGCAGTGTATAGCACAGTGTTAGCGCGGCTTCATCCCGATGCTCAGCACAGTCCGTCGCAGCGATAAATAAGTACGGCCACGAAGAAGAGCGCGAGAGGGGAGAGGCACCGAACACAGGCTCCCGATATAAAATGAATATGCACAGAGACAATTCCGTGAAACACAGCTGTCGCTTTCTGCTTCTGGGTTGCTGAGGGATAAAATACTTAGGAGAAAAAGAGAAAATCGAGCGACTCGCAACGCCGGGAGGACAGGACTGCTGTGCGGGGGGACGCGACCGGACTCGATCTGCATGTGAGACCGCTGGTCCTCACACACCGGAGGCAAGAGATGCAGCCTGCAAACAAGCTCATGACTCTGATTCTCCTCATCTTCTTGGGCACAGAACTCACCCAAGTAGGTTTCTTTAACGCCATTTTCCTGTATTAAGAAAATAAACTAATCTGCGGTTAATTGGCTTTCAGATACGCCGGGAGATTACCCTGTTACCTCGCATAAAGAGCCCCGGTGAATTAGCCCTATACCCCCGTTTAAACAGATTAACGGGTGGGATTACATGATGTGGATACATTGTGTTTGACGGTAGATCAGCAGGTAGGCTATCCCCTCCACCGGGGTGACAGATATAGGGAGAATTGTGAAAGGATCTGTCAATTTCCGTATTAGCAAATGGTCGATTAATCAACTGCAGGGCTGTTCTGATACCTATGATGCCTGTAGCTTTCTACAAAAAGGCCATTGTTGAATAATGGGATGTCTTTCTGATATCAGGGCTCCACAATGTCTCAAATAAGGTGTTTTGAGCATACTTAATGACCACACTGTGATTTATGTGAGGGGGGAAAAGAACATTTAGTCCAACAATGTAAAGCCACCCAGCTCAGCAGCAGTAAACAAATTCACTGGTCGATAAAAATGTGATGCTTCACTGGAATTATTTCCTGCTATCTGAAAGGCCAATTGGCAGCAATAATAGTTACTGTTGCATTAAACTGTTGCCTTTATCAATTCTCACAGACAGCATCATGGTGTGGAAGAGAGTGAAGGAGGGAATTTATTTAGGCTATTACAAGGCCCTGCCATCACCGGATTGAAGAATGATTTAATTGCCCCTTGCTTCAGCAGAGAGTCATATTTCATGGGCTTCACTCTTGTGTGAATCCAATTGTGGTTGGTAATTGGAGCCTACAAAAAATAAAATGTGCCAGAGAGGTAGGCTACTATCAATAAATGAATCTCTGTTCCCAGAGTATCTGTAATGTACTTTTCTCCTAAGTCCATAACATGTGTTGGAAGCGGGTAACTGCCTGCAAATCCTGCTGCCCCTGATAACCAATGTGTGACACAAATATTTATGTCATTTGTTTTGCCTTGACACAAAAATGCCAGCAATTGATCCCAGTAAATGTATGATAAATGTCAGTGTGCTGAGAGGGGAACATTTTTTATTCAACAACATTCATGTGGAATTACACAGTTGTTATTACTGCTGCGTTTTGAAGCCTGTAATGTGTAAGCCTGTAATCTGAACTGGACATATAGAGTGCAGCAGCAGAGTGCACACAAATGCTGACACAATGGAACAATGGGTCTATTTGCACTGATTGATGGAAGCCATCAGTCAGAGGTAGGAGGAAAAGAGAGCGTGTTTCATTTCGGGTTTCATGACAGTCGGGGTTCGGGTCCGACACGGTCAGGGTCCCACGTTACAAAGACACGGTTTCTCTTATGGCCTGTGTCTTCTGTTTGAAGGTAAGTCGATACAAGTCCACAGCCTTGCCTGTCTGCTCCCTCCAAGAGAACAGAAACACAAGAGACTCTGACAGGCTCTATTTATACAGCCCCCTGCTATAGAAACATACAGTACATCTCACTGTAGGAGGGCCAGGCCTCTCCATTCTCAGCTGGAAGACAGATATACAAAGTGAGAGGTGTAGCCAGAGAGATAGAGAGCCTTTTAATGCCATATTACTCACAAGGAGAGGAAAAAAGCTTTCCGGGCAGCATGGCCTCCACCTTTGATGGTGCACAACGATGTCTCTTAATGACCGTGCTAACCACCTTGCTTCAAAAGTCTCACACAGTTTCAGACTGCGTGGGAGCTGAGAGTGTTTTCTTAACATCTGGCTGAGGGAGCAAGGAGGGGCCTGATTAGTGGCACACTCTCCTCTTTAATTCCGCCTGCATTTATTCACCTCTTTCCCCTCCGCTGAAGGATTTGGCGGCTGCCGGCAGTTCACACAGAGAAGAATAGTAAGCAGATGGGCATCTGTTCCTCACCTAGTCCCCATAGCTCCAGGCCCACATCCTAAAGCAGCTCACTGACACCTGATAACACAGATGGGGCTGCGATAGCCGGCCCTTTGACACCATGTAACCCACATGCCATAGCTCAAACCATCATCATGCAAAGCTATAAAACACCGCACGTGGTCAGGTTTGCAATGCATGCATGATGTAAGTTAAGATAAAAAAAATAGCTTCTAATTCCCTGGAAACAACTTCATCTGCTTTGCCAACACGTGCGCCAGTATGAGTATGAGGGCCCAGGTAAAGGACATTTTTGGAAACAGTTTAGAATTTTAATGTTAGAAAACAGAAGAATCAATCCTGTTTTATGTGAGAAGCTGAGATGGAGTTGAGCTGAATTGCAGCTGGGGCTGAAGCTATTTATTATTCAGTAAGGTTGGTAGAACGATGAAGCAAGTGGGGAGAGAGAAGGCGAGCAGAAGAGGAGTAGAGATAGGCCTGCGTTTTGTAGTTCACTTGTGGGCTAGAAACATGATTCTTTGTGAAAATGTTTTTCACTGGATACACTGTTTCCAGTTTTGTGATTGTATTAAATACATACATTAAATATAATGCAATAGAGAACAATAGCCCTGTCAGAAACACCATTTGAAGCTTTTTAAAGATATATTTATGTAAAATATAATAAAGATGTGCCTGCCTGTTTTTTACACCTTTCACCTCCCTGACATTTGTGTACTAAGGTAAATAGGTTGCACATCCAAGACAAACATATTAACAGTTGCATCAAAAATCCAAGGCCAGAATCCAAAACATTCTTCAAAAAAGATCTCAGTTTGATAGACATTAAAAATAGCTGGTAGGTGTTAATCCAGTGTCTTTTTGATTCGTGCTTTTATTTTGAAGTTGCATTTTTTGAAGATAGACCTCAGGTTACAGCAACACTCCACAAGTTACATTCTTCAAATGGTATATACATTATTGTAATCAACACCTGTCTCATTTATGCAGGGCTGTTATCTCAAACTGTATTGCATGATCCAGTTTACAGAATTATAAGTGTTGTAGTGCAATTCTAATGAGTGGTTTTATTTGACAACCCTCTCCATTAATCACTCTTGATTACTCCATCTGATGATTGATTGGTTAATTGATTTTTTTTATTGAGTCAAGTGTCTTTTATTAGTGCACTTGAGGTGTTCCTACTGATGCAGCTGTAGATACTGATTTTATATCAGAGGTGGGGATCATTTGCTCCACCTCTGTTAAAACCAAATGTTATCCACAGCAGAAAACTAGCTGTACCCTTTACACGTAAGGGCATTAAAGGCCATGCTCTGCAATGAAACGGCCTGTATTAAACAGGAGACTGGACTCTAGACAGCAGCGCCGCGGTGAGCTGACCCCTGCCGATACTTTGCACTAATCTGTGGAGCCATCACTATGTGAGCCCTCACCTCAAAGGTCATAAAGAAGTGGGGGAGATAAGAGAGGGAAAGAGACGGGGGAGAGTTATGGCGGTGCAGTGAGTGCAAACACTCCTCCATCTTTCAGTTTACCAGAGAAATGCATTATGGAGCGGACAGAAATAGCTGTGGACACAGAGCCACTCCTGGAATCTGGGGACTTCATGCATCATGCAGGGCGGCAATTTAGCCCGTGGTCTGGAGCATTAGCCCCTAGGCCTGCTGATGACCCGTCTGTGGAAATAAATTAATTGTAATGTCTCAGATATGCATCATTTAACTGCACTTGCCATTGCACAAACCCCATTTTTAGTCTTTTTAAAAATGAATTTTGTGCATAAACATGATAGTTTATAGAATGTTACGCAAATGGAAATCGTGGAAGTTGTCTTGTTGTAGTTATTTTCTGAGTAATTTATCCTATTTGTGCATATTTTGTGCTGTTCCTTTCATTTTAAAATCAGTACTCTGAGATTGCAGCAACACCAAAATCAGCTACACGATGGCGCCAGAGTCTCACAAATAGAAAGCCCCTCTCTCAGTTTGAGCAGAAGGCATCGGGTATCCCATCAATAAAACATAACCCGAGCCCTCACACCCCTCTGTCATTGAATGCGAGATTCTGCACAACTATGTGTGCATTTTGACGTTTGCACTGTCACATACTGCAGTTTAGTGTCAACGAGTTTGAGCTGCATGCATTGATCCCATAGAGTCCCATGTCCTTCTCGGGGCAGTGCAGAAATACATGTCACTGTCCGGTATAAATAATAACCCTGGGCTTCAGTGTGGGACGACCCCAGCCGCACTGCTCATTGTCACTCCCCCAGGGGACAGTCGGTGTCAGGCGGGCTGTGGGCGAATCACGCGCAATCCCAGAATTTACCACGAACAGACCCAAACCTGGCTGACATCATTGCGTCTGGCGATATATATAGATCCGTAGTACCTCCCCTTTTCCTCCCTCTCATCCATTTGGAGCCGCCTTTGTGAGTAGTCAGTGGCACTTAATCACAGAGCGCTCCAAGGCAGGAGGCGGACCGGTCGGGCGTGAACGACATAGTAACGGAGAACCGGAGAGGCAGCAGTGTGCGGTGACACAACGCAGGCAGAGGAGCTATTCAGAGGACGTTTCCTGCAGCTGATTTTTTCCCTTTCTTTTTCTGGAGCAAGTGCTGAAGTTTTAGTCCCCGTCCCAACACCTCCACGCAGGTCGTTTCCTCTCGCGTCCCACTGGCGTGCTTTGTTGGAGATGTCCAAAAAAAGACCAGCCGAGCCGGAGTCCCCGGGTGAAACAGCAGCCGCAACTGGGCACCATGATTTGTTTCTCACCGGAGTCTGTAGAATGAAGACGGCTTGAAAAAAAAGTCAAATTAAACGCGCAAAGATGTCGTTGCCTTTGTTGAAGATCGGCGTCGTGCTCAGCACCATGGCGATGATCACCAACTGGATGTCGCAGACCCTCCCCTCTTTGGTGGGGCTCAATACCACCAAGCTCACGGCAGCACAGGGAGGGTATCCAGACCGGAGTACAGGAGTAAGTGCGCAAGTTTGGCGTATGTCCTGCAGCTGGTTGGGTATTTCCTGAATGAATGTTGCAATTAGATTCCAATAAGATATATGCAACATATGTGCGCTTTGGTTAATTAATAAGAGGAGAAAATATGTCATGTGTTGCAAGAAGCATGCAGAAGTAAAAAATAATACTTGGAGAGGCATCATAGATATGAATTTGATGTGGCTCCAATGCCATGGGCTGATGTCCTTGTCGATATGAGTAGCCTGCACTAAGTGGAAAGTTATGTCTTTTTTTTCCTTCTCTGGTATTGATAAGAATAAGAGATCCACGGGGGAAAATAAGGCGATTGACGTGACAAAATGTCAAGGCAGTCTTTTTTCCCCGTCTAAATAATAGGGAGTCCTCATTCTTTCTTCCACTTGCCTGTGTGAATGAGAGAGGCGTCAAAGCCAGGGTCTGTTATAGAGTCAAGAAGAAGCGTTTATTTTGTTTCTCTATGACGCTCCCGCATATCCTGAGCTGTCTCTGTGCCAGAATAATAATGTGAGAGATCTGTCAGGTGAAGGTTTGCACTGGAAGTTAGAACAATGGATGTTGAAGGCAAGTATAGTAAAACACTGTGAACTGATATTGACTCCTGAATGAGGTGTTTCATTTTGAGAAGATTGAAGCATTTTTACATGACTTGTGAGTTATTTCTAATCATTTTTGTCAGCAGCCAGTGAAAGAGTATTGAGTGATATCTATGCAGGAGCTTCAAAGTGATTTTTCTTTGTCCTGTCAGCGCATCCTTTGGTAGAAAGCGTTGCAGCTGACTGTCAGCCTTTATTGCTCTTTTTAGATTTTGTAAAGTCACTCCTCTCTAATTGGCTCAATCAGCACCTCTGTCCTGTGATTTGTTTAAGCGCTGCTGCAGTGATGAATATCTTTTTCTAAATGTCACTCAGACCTAAACTGATCAGCAGGTTACTCACACTGGAAAAAAAACTGTCTGACGTCGTTCACATCCCTCTTTACACACAGAGCTTTTACACAGCTTACTGAATAATGGTAGTAGCCTCCGCTGTTTCGATTGGCTGCATGTTCCCATTGGCTACATGTTCCCTTTGTGTCGCTTCAGAATACTTCATGTGGTGCAAAACGGGTGGAGCCTGGTAGCGTGGGGCATCCAGATGGAGATACATGCAATGCAGCTTTAGCATCACACTTTACTTAATGGACAAATAGCAGTAAAGTGACCTTTGCAATTTCCTTTATAAAAGCAAGGATGTCTTTTTGTACCCTTTTGGTCTTTTTCTGTTTTAGTGAGAGCTTTTTTTTTATGATGTTCCTTTCTGTTTAATCACTCCCTTGTCTGCAGGTGTTGCCAGCGAACCCAGAGGATTCGTGGCAGGTGTACAGTTCAGCCCAAGATAGTGAGGGAAGGTGTGTCTGCACTGTGGTGGCGCCCCAGCAGTCCATGTGTTCTCGGGATGCGCGCACCAAACAACTGAGGCAGCTGTTAGAAAAGGTAATTACAGCTTAGCTCCTCTGCAACTCATGGCCACAGAAATGAATACAGAAATGTCATACAATACCCAGAGTGGCCACCTTTACTGCTTTTACCAACAATTCTTCAAACGGCAAGACATGTGCGCACACACACGAGCTCACCAGTGTTTGAGGTCTGCTCGTCGGATGAGAATAGGAATCATGCTCTAATGAGCTCCCTAGAAACCCGACATGCATCATGGGAGGCCACTCACTCCCTGTGAGTTTCTATTGTAACTGCACACATCCAAAGCAACACATCTAATGATGCAACCTGCCTCAATGCACATCAACTGGAAGATAACCCATTTACACAAGAATAAAACCTTTTTGAAACTAGGACGCGATTGGAGAACACAGACCTTTGCCAAGAACAATGTGCATTCCTCCTCTGATGCTCCCATTTTCCCAGTTAGCAAGTTGTTTCCATTTTACACCAGTGTGGAAATATGCTTTTATTAGTAAAATGGAAACAAGAAGAAAAATATGTTGTTTTTTATTGAGTGTTTAAAACACATGCAAACACATTTCTGTGATTATTCCAGCACCACATGAATGTAGCACAAATGCCTCGCTATGGTCATTCAATTGAAAATGTGTACCCGCCCAGTGATTTGGATCTTCTCCAGAATGTAATGGGTTTATCCTTGATCCATGCAGCACTTTTCCACCAAGTTTCATTAACACCTGGTAGTAGATCTTCCAAAATCCAGCTGACAGACAAACAGCCCAAGCTAGAAAAATACAGAACCTTTTGGCAGAGGTAAAAAGACATTGTACCCAAAGATCGAGTTAATCTCCAAATACTAGGTGATTCACCCAAAAGATACAGACATCAACAGATCTTTCCTGAATGATAGAATATTTGCCAAGTCTCTGGTATTTCTGGACCAAAACAATTTTGGAGAAACCAAATGTCTTAACAGTATGCATTCTACACTTCCACCATGTGTCTGAGGCCCCTGCCTAGTTGGCCTCATGTCAGAGTTTGTGAGTCACTGGAGGAAGAACGCCTATCCAAAACAACATATTGACAGTCTGTTTCATTTTATCTGCATCTCATGCTCATTGCTTTATTAACTGTGATAAATAGAGATTTTTCTCATAACTCAGTCCAATGTGTCCGTCTGGCTCCAGGTCCAGAACATGACCCAGTCCATCCAGGTCCTGGACCAGCGAACCCAGAGGGACCTGCAGTATGTGGAGAAGATGGAGGTTCAGCTCCGCGGTCTGGAGACCAAGTTCAGGCAGGTGGAGGAGAACCACAAGCAGAACATCGCCAAGCAATTCAAGGTACGCAGACAGATCTTCAGCCATTGACCCAACCATCATTATTTCATAGCTGCTCTGTAGCCCCTTACCCATTCTGTGTTTGTGTGTTCCCACTGTGGAGATGTTTCAAAATGGACTCAACATACCACCATACCAATAAATCCATAATGCATGCACAACACAAGGGATTCAATAATTGGAACCATAAATAATTAACATCCTTATTTCTCACTAACTCTCTTCTGAAAACAATGTGATGGAGATCTTAATCAACTTGGAAATAAGGATATTTAATAAAACTAAATTCATCGATAATGGTGAAATGTTGTACCAACAAGACATCTGCACATAGGAGACGCATCCGTAATCTAATCTGATTTAAGAGTAGACACTAACCCTTTTTTTCTTGAAGGGTTTACTATCCAATCAAAAATAGTATAAAGCTGTTTTGCAGGTAGGGTGGGGTATCATTTGTAATGTTCTGAAACCTGCTGATTTTCCTCCGTCTCTCTTACAATCCAAAAAGAAAATCCAATTAGGACCACAAATACTTAACAATATGCAGGATAATGTCTTTAATTGTGAGGGACTGCGGATGGAAATTAGCTAAAAGCTAAATCTGGCACTGTTACGCTTGACATATTTTAATGTTTTAAGTGTTCATTATTGTGCATTGTCCCTGCGAAATAAACGATTAAATTAAAAATAATTAATTATATATATTTATATATATATATAAATAATTTATATTTATATATATATATATATAAATGATTTCTTGACTTGTTGACCCTTACAAATATTCAAAAATAACAGTAATTATTTTTTAAATGCACAGGGTGGCTTCAGCAAATTATTTGGTTCTCTGACCAAAGCCCAAAAAAAAGCACACCTCCACAATCGAGGAGCTTTCATTGCGTAACTTGGGGCACTTTTGTTTGAATTGCTTAAACAGTCAACCAAGTTTCAAAAATTGTTGACGATTATCTGCCTTCCATTTGTAATGGCATAATCGACTAATTGTTACAGCTTTTCATTGAACAATTTAAGTTATTGAATGTTTTCCAAATACAAGCAGCCGTACAAGAACTTTCAAAATCAAAGAATAAGTAAACAAGTTTGCCAATTCCACGAGACATTAGATGTCACCTTTAAATACTGCAACGTTTCTGTTACTCTTTGCTACTGACACAGTTCACAAAGTACCAAAATGCATTGCGGTTTGATACCCAGCCCTCTTTCTGCTAATCACATGAATGCATTGTTCCAGTTTCCCTGTTTTCTCACCATTAGCACGCCTCAGTGTTAGCATCATCTCACCTGCACAGAAAACATTTGTGTTATCATCAACCAATGCTCGAAAACCTCATGCAACCATTGCCACATTCAGTGCATGTGTGCAATTCCCTGTAACATGTCTACGTGCATAATACTGTATGTGTGCGTTCGTTTGTGTGTCTTATTAGCAAGGTTAGCAAGCTCAAGCTCCTGTCAACAGTCTGTCATTTTCTTGCTTGCAGGGCTAACTTTAAGACATGTAAAGAGAGCCACAGGGAAGAAGAGGCAGGTCAATTCCAGATTCCCCTGAACTGGGCCACAGTACTGAGAGCATTTGGGCGTCAAACAGTTAATTTACCTTTAGCACCATTAAGACTAAGAAACCCCACCCTTCTCCCAGACCACCCCACCACTGATCTCTTCCTGCATGTTACTGCTGTCAAAGTTTTCCATTTTAAAGCTTTTTTCAAACGTAAAACAACTTTTTTTAATTATTTTGTTATAACTATTCTTTTTATAATTATTAATAATTGCTGTTATATTTATTTTATTTTTAATTTTGGCTTTTGTCTATGCATATTTGGTTATTCAACAAATCTATACGTAAAACTACAGACGTAAAATTCGAGACACTTTGTTGTGTGTGACATGTAAAAGCATGTAACCCTTAATACTATGTTGCATTTTAAACGATGATGACCAATAAAGAGCTTTCCCAATTGTTGTCGGTGTACCGAGGGCTTGCTTTTTAAACGGCTGGTCACTGCCAGGGGACGGAGCCACCTGCTCTGCTCGTACCAGCGGGCGGAGAATATTTTACGGGTTTGTTTGCTCAGACACACACTTGCACGGACAAAACACAGCTGTTCACACACAAACACTGAACACAGACACACACCGGGGGTCAGGTCAGTGAAGAGGCAGGATAGAGTCAGAGTAGCCAGGTTCAGACAGGTGTTTTTTTTTCTTTTTTTTCTTTTCTTTTTCTTTTATGGACTTTCGTCACGCATGACACTCAACCGAGCTTATTCTAATCCTTTCAGGCCATAAAAGCGAAAATGGAGGAGCTTAGACCGTTGATACCAGTGTTGGAGGAGTACAAAGCCGATGCCAAATTGGTATTGCAGTTTAAGGAGGAGGTCCAGAATCTGACGACAGTTCTAAGCGAACTTCAGGAGGAGATGGGGGCCTATGACTACGAGGAGCTCCACAACAGAGTGTCAAATCTTGAGGAGAGACTCCGAGCATGCATGCAAAAATTAGGTAGGCACAGAAAGTTGTTGGCACACACTTTGCTTCAAACATGTGCATGCACAAAACACCCACTGACATGTAGTACAGCATATTGTGAGTGGACAGAAAGAAATCCTCAGGCATATTCACACGATTCAGAACTTCACAGGAACATTAAGTCTGGCTGAGATACTCTAGCACTCAAATGCACTTTACGCAGACTTATAACACAACCGCCATTCTCAATCTATGGTTTATTTGTACGAGCTCACCTTCTAACTATGAACTGTTATTGGTATACTCTAACATTTTACAACTCAACCAATAATAAAGTCCATTTAAGAGCTACAGTATGCATGTGCTCATAGAACTGGAGTTACATGTATGGGTTCCAGCCCTTTAAAATGAAGATGTAATAGTTAATGAACATTTTGGGTTACACCTCTGAAGAACATGTGTGTAATGCAATATAAGCACATTCATAATACATTATAAGAAATGTATTTGGTTTTATAAATCTAATTAAAATGTTTATAGTCAAACATGACAACTTATAACAAGGTGTATTAAATATGACTGGACATAATGTATTATAAGCTCAACATTCATAGTGCTTTATACCTTTATACTTAAGTAACAACAGAGTCTTTGTTTCCTGAGAACATTTGATCTACCATTACATAAGACTATAAAGACTGAAACAGAACTGCTCTATGTATCATAACGGTAAATAATCATATCTAACATCCACCCTTTTAGGAGCTTTTAATACAATTAAAAGCACTTTTAAAGGTTATTAGCAATTGTATGACACTATTACACATTTAGAGGGGCTTGATGGCTCCAAGTAAATTGTCGACATTTAAAATATTTACAATTTTCATCAAAGGCATGTAACATCTGTATTAGGGTTAGGGTAAGCACCATGCTAAACCTTTTATATATACATTACTTCATAAACCTTGTTATAAATTGTCATGAAGGATTACACACATGTATGATGTGTTTTATAAGCCTTATAAATGCAATATAAAGTCTAATGAATGTGCTTATAATGCATTACAGACATCCAGCTTATAGAAAGTGTGACACCAGAATACACTCTGGGAATTTGCGATAGACTTGTTTTACAATTTTATGATGGTTGATAAATCAAATCCTAAATCAATGACGACAATAATCGTTAGTGACGGTCCTACAAGGCCCACCTTTTAACTCATCATCAAATTGTGTTGTAATGTGGAAGTCTGCATCAATCTCTGGTAGCGTCACACTCCCTGTGAGAAAATAGATGGGGTGTTTAAATGCAGGAATAGGTATGAGGTGTTTAACACGGTTTCACAGGTACAGGTACACACACACACACACACACACACACACACACACACACACACACACACACACACACCACACACACACACACACACACACACACACACACACACACACACACACACACCACACACACACACACACACACACACACACACACACACACACACACACAGCAATGGAAGCCCACAGAAAGGAGAGCTGCTGACAGCAAGTTATCTTTGCTTTTAGTCCCTGTCTCTTTCAACTTCACACCTCTGTCACAGCCCACAGTGCTAATAGATGCACACCCACACTACAGTGACTAAGATATATTACAAGAGCAGAGACACTTACACAATGCTCATCACGGGTATATTGTGTCCCTGTTTGAAATTATTCACAGTACAAGATGAGCGAAATACATTTGGGGCAAACTCTTGCAAAGCCTACTGTTCATTTAGTGAAGCTAGTCGAGACACGGAAATTGGATTCAAGCGTGTAGAATAGATACCCTAATCTCAACTAGCACTTACTACATCTGTCATTGTTATCTAAATATATGCACACACAATTGTCTTATAACATCACATCTGCTGTCAGTAAGCCTCAGATTTGTTTTCACTCTCGGTTAAATGCACATGTCGCTGCTCACATCAGTGGTCAGGCTGCCAAAAGATAGGAGAGCGGGGAACTGTGGGAGTGTGTGTGTGTGTGTGAGATCATATGAGATAAAGGCGAGGTCACCCAGAGAGGGACTGGCTCAGGCAGAACAGAGGGTGGTTATTCCTTTTATCCTCACACGATTACAGAGGCACTCATGCATAGTGCACACAAATACACTCCACTACACTCCCCTTCTTGAGATTAATCTTGAGAAGGTCACTAACCAAATTTGCATCAGAAGATCAATAACAGAGGGGGTTAAAAAATGAAAATAAAAGAGGGCCAGGGAAATTTCAGTGTTGAATAATAGATACAGCGTCAGGAGGAGTTGGTGGAAGGTGTTAAAGGGGAAGGAGGAAGAGTGATAAAGTGAAGGCGAGCGGGGAAAGTGAAAGAGAGAAACTGAAGTGCCTGCAGAGCTGTCCTTCAAGATCTTTTTGTGCCGGAGAGCCTAACAGGCCGCCGGCTGCTGGGACACAATGGCCATCGATCAAGGGGACGTGCCAGCTTGCTGGGCAATAATCAAATAAATAAATCACCCTGTGTCCTGCCCCTGCATGGGGCTTCAGGCAAATCCAGTCCCCTCACACCAAAACACTGATGAATAGAGCAGGAAAGGCAGCATAAACCTCTACAGCCATCTTTCTTACCTTCCCTTTTCTCTGCATAGAATACAATGACAAGGAATAATATTGTAGCCAAATTTTCATGAAACACAATCAATATTTCCCTCTTTACGACAGCCCTCAGTCTTTATAAGGCAACCATTTCTAATGTCCTTTTTAATTACTGATATCTTGGAACATGAAGACATCTCTACAAATAAGTCAGTGGTCAGACAAGACGTTCACACAGGTTTTAGTACCCCAAGAACTATTTCTTTATAACATTAAATATGAATGACTGAATATGCTTACAGTATATAATTTACATGACAGGACCAGCTAAACTCCACCCACTTCAAACCAGTGAGTAGAGCACATTGAAATACAGAAATCTCTCAGGTGTAATAACAAAAGGGTTTTAACCTTGCCAAAATAATGTGTGAACTCCATCAGTCAGTAAGACAATTATGCTTTTGAGCATTTAAACTTAACTATGGAGAGGCAAACATATACTTAAACGAAAAGGAAGAAGAACGGTACAATTATTACACAGTCATCGATTGACTTCTATACATTGACCTACTGGTTGTCATGGAGTAGAGATGATGGAGTAAAGTAATACATATCATTGCGTTTTGTACGGTTGGTCAAATGAACTGGAACATTTAAAGACATTAGGCTGTTTGTCAGTATTTTATGACATTTTTTAACAATCAAAAAATAACCAGAATTTGGATTTCATCCAACAAAGATGAATTAAAATGTTTGCTTTTGATATTTCGGCTGTACCTAGTGTCTTATCAGTTACTTTGGTGAGTACAATGTTACCATAACTGATCAAAAACAAGACCTACATTTACATGAACATAAAACAAATATTCATCCACCTCAGGAATTAAGTGTTCATTCTATATATAAATCCTTATATTTCAGGGTATATGTAATGTCAGCTCCCTTTGACATTGAGTTTTCCATTTGCTCTGCCCGCTGCTTCGGAGCAGGCGAATTCAGGCCAAAAGGGGATTAGACCCTGTGGGCATCTCGAGACTTGAAACCCATCAACAGGCTCCCCAGCAGCCTCCAATAGTTTGATCTAAAGATAGAGGGTACGATTAGAGAAAATTAATTAATTAACCCAGGGCCAATGTATTTCTGCGCTCTGTAATCCCACTGAGGGTTACGTAAGGCCCCCACTAGAATAGTAGCTGCTGCTCATGTGACCGTGTGTTTGTCTCTCAGCCCGATGCTGAGGTGTGATGCCCACACACACTCACAGGCACGACATATGTTGCACATGGAGACACACACACACACACACACACACACACACACACACACTCATTATACTCAGTATTCATTATGTAAGAGAATTAGATTTGACCAGATGAGACGATGGTAAGGTGACAGATAAATAAATAAGAGTAAAAAAGAACGTTGACAAATTAAAAGGATATTTCAGAACAACAAAGAGCAAGAGAGATAATACAAACACAGAGGGATGATGAATGTTGTAGTGAGGGGTAAATGGATGCTTCACAGAGAAAGATTTTTAATGGAAATTGTAAGTGAGCCACCGTCACAGTCCCACTCTTTAAATTAACATTTCAGAACGACTCATTAGGTTCATGGAATAAAATGGATCAGTCAAAATCATCTAATTGACTTTTCTCCATGAAAAACTGCCTATGCCACAACAAATGGATATAGGCCTACTGTAGTGCAGTGGCGAACCGTGTCTATCACAACTGGACCTTCTATAGACACACACCCCCCGCCGCCGCCCCCACCGTTATAATGTCCGTCTTTTCACTGAATTGTCGTCTTGAAAAGGGTACTCACAACAATTCCGCAACAACTTCATCTTCACCTGTTGCACTTGTCATTTCAACGTTAAAAACAATAAAATGGCATGAATTGCTTCGTCGCATTCGTTCTAGATCCTCTGCCTCGAGCCAGTTAACTAGCGGGCCTTCTAGAGTACCCTGGAACCGAGGGGAACTCTGAAAGAACACGCCCATTGGCTACAAATCAATATATGATTGGTTGATCAAACTGTCAGTCCAAACGTACGCTCTCATTCAGTGCAACGGCCAGGGCATTCTATCAAGGATGTAAAATACCTTGGTTGAAGGATATTCTACCACTGAAATGCGTAGTGCATGGTCCGAGAAGGACAAACAAATCAACGTAACACTGTAATATTACAGATCAACAACACAGATACGATTCTCATTTATTCATTTTATATACATTTTATTACATTTTATTACATTTTATTTATATAATTAAATCGATTTTTTGTTTGTTTTATCTGAGTGTTGCAGGGTATTCTCTGAATACCTTGAAGGCCCTGACGGTTCGCCACTGCTGTAGTGGCGTTGTGAGGTTTTGTTGTGTCGTGAAATCTAAAAGAGAAACAGAAAATAGTTTTAGTTTGGTCAAATTCACATTATCGCCGCAATCAACCCTACTTTAAAACGACATCAGCTTTAAAGCAGCACCACACTGAAGCTTCCCTCTAATGTTCCCTCTTCCTCTCACTTTCTCACACATCCACACAGAGAGTAAAACAGCCATTAGCATGTGTGAACTGAATAATAAGCATCCTGTGAACAGAACATCACACTTTTTAAAGAGAAAAGTAGCAAGCTGGACATGGACTCTTAAAATATTCATGGGAACTCATTTGGATTTAAAGTAAACAAAAGTAAATCCCTGGTAGTACATATAAAATACCCACTTGGACGTTGCTCTGGAAGTTCCCGTCTCACTTCTTTCCCTTGCAGCATGTGGCAAGCTGACGGGCATCAGTGATCCTATCACCATCAAGACGTCTGGATCTAGGTTCGGCTCCTGGATGACCGACCCTCTGGCCCCTGAAGGAGATACGCGGGTATGTTTCACAGCACACAATAAATGGGTATAGACAATGTTATGTCCTTATATCATGTTTAACATGGAATTTTCACCCTTTACCGATTTTTGATGAAACGGTTTCTGATTTAAATCATGAATGTAACTTTTTATTTTGTTTTGATCACGCAAAACCTTTGCAAAGCTACTTGTGTCCTGATTACTAAGACATATCTGGCAATAACATCGCTTTTCATTCACTGGAAGATTTTGAAATGTTTGGGTATTTTTATTCCAGAACATTTTCTTTAGAACACTAGTAAGAAAACATACCAAGTACACATTTAGGATTTCAAATAACTAGCTTTGTCAATCCTATACTGTATGAGTAGTTTTCTTTTTAATTCCTCCACTAGTTTATTATTTATTCAGATGTTTATTAAAATATTTATCTATAACATTATACAATGCCTTATTTTTATTTCAGAAACACTTTAGAAACCGTTTGATTCCAAATGAATTGTCTTAATGCATGTATTCAACTGGGGAAGTTTCATTGCCATGTTTATTTGTATATTGGTTTTTCTCAGGGGGTAAACAGAGAAGTTGTTGAGTACCCAACTAATTTAAAGAAATCATACATTTTGATTTAAGTCAAATCACAAATGACTTGCTACCACATAGTTATTGGATAAATGATGAGGTCCCCAAGCCCAACCCTCACCCTAATCCTAGCAAAAAGTATATCAATATGTAATAAATGACTGATAGAATTGTTAAAAATAATTTAGGTCAGTCGGTCTCGAAAAATGGTTGAGAAACAATGATAGTAAACTGAATATCATTGTTTTTTTAAACAGTTGGTCAAACATCACAAGCAATTTGAGTATATACCTTTGAGCTTGGGATATTGTGAATAATTATCAGCAGATTATTCTCTCATGAGCTGCAGCAGGACATCATTTAACGAGCACACATCGAGAAAGTGAACACAATCACACTGGCTGTAAACATTTGATCCTGATGACGGTCTGTTTGTCCAAGAGACGAGCTCCTGCAGATCTGCAACAGCTTTCTGACTCTAAGTAGGAGTCAGCCTTGATCGTAGGTCAACCATCGCTGTGGAATTGAATAACGGTCTTTGTTAATTGGTCACTGTCCTTTTATCAGCTGATTGCGTCTAATTTCCCTCTGATTGCGGAGTGGTGCAACTGTTCAATAACAGGGTCTGCTTCCCTTACCGAAACTCATTCAAATGAAATGGCAGGGATACATCTAGAGGGGCCTAACGGGGAGATGCCAAGCAGAAGAAAGGGAAGGGAGGGAGTTGGAAATAAGGAAAGTGTATGTCATCTACATGTCCAGCAGCTGTATGAGACACATTTATAAGAGACAGAACTCTTAATGTCAAATGGGAGGAAACAGAAAGCAAAACCAGAAGCAGTGGAGTACATTTGCAGTTTGCTTCCTTAGGCTAAATGTCTAACCCAGTCTCACGGCATTTCGTGTTATAGTCACGACATTTAATCTATTGATTCGTGTTCACCAACACGATTTCCCCCTTTTTTTCGTGTCACACAGAGCGATTTTAAAAGCAATGTATTTCTATTGGTAGTATTTTTCGTGCCTGCAGCACGTCTTTTTGTCCGTTCGGGTCTTGGAAGACCGGAAGCTGTGTGGTTCATAAAAACATGTTCTTACTCAATATCAAGCCACGATTATTGTTTTTATTTTAAATCGTATAATGTCGGACTTTTTTTGTCGTCTGTGAGGAAAATAAATGGGGCTCAGAGCCTCAGAATACTGAAATCTGTATTTTTTTTTCTGTAATATGTAATGCAGCCGAACCGTGTATTACAATGCCGTTATGTGATGACTTTCAAAGAGAAAAGCAAAAACACTCGGAATAAAGTATTATTTTCTTTTAAAAAAATTTTTTTTCGGATTTGATATGTACGGAGCCCTGGAGGGTTCATAGAGAGAAAAATAAATAAAACGTGGCCACGTTTTGTGTGTGTGCGTGTGCTGTTCGTGGTAATTTGAAAACAAATGCCGGTGGTGTCGGATACACACGAACACGCACACAGAGCTGAGCACACACACACACACACACACACACACACACACACACACACACACACACACACACACACACACACACACACACACACACACACACACACACACACACACACACACACATCATGCGCCCCGGTGACAGGACATCTCCTTCATAAAGCGAGGGGGAATACTCTGGTAGTTCGATGTGTGTATAGGTGTGTGTGGTTAAACGTAGCAGCCTCGATCTCTATTCAGCGGTTCTAATGAAGGGAAACGCAGTGAAGTAAACAGTAAAAGGCACAGCTCTTTGCAGCTGGTGCTGCTCTTCTCAGATTCTGCTGAGTTACACGTTACTGCCTCCAGTGCCCTGTACGACGAAGCCAGTTCAACAGACCCTGGACCTGGATATGTTCGATTTACCCGGCTTAACTGACCCTAACAAACGCGATGTCGATAAGCGGTCCTACGAAGCTGGTTATCAACTCAGTAAATCAACCAGGGTTTCTCTGTCCGGCTGAGAGCGCGCTCACGTGAAAGGGACGGGGTTAGCAACATTTGACCAATCACAAACATGGAGACGCGTGCTGACAGTGCAGCGTCATACTTCATGAATGAATAGTGTAAATAGCAAATCCTGCTTCGTAGTACAGGCCACTGGTGCCGCTGAGATTTCATAAAGTGAAGGAGGTTTTCCTTCTATAAAACAGCTGTGGGCAGCAGATACTGTGAGTCACGGACAGGAATCCCTCAATTTAAATAAAACGAGGCCACGCTTTATTAACTTGTGCGCACGCTTTAGTAACTCGTGCGCACGCTTTAGTAACTCGTGCGCACGAGTTACTAAAGCGTGCGCACGAGAAAGTAAAACGTGGCCACGTTTTATTTATTTTTCTCTCTATGAACCCTCCAGGGCTCCGTAGATATGGCATGAACACCATATCCCTACATGCATAAAATCAGCGAGCTTAAACCATAGCTGAGGATCTTGGGTAATCAGTTCAGTGGCTGTGTATCGCAATGATGCTACGTCTGTTTCCGGTTATTTTTATTTTGAAATTCACCTCCTGACGAACGCCAAAAAAGCCAGAGATTATGGAATCAAATAAATAAAAACAAGGATAATTGTGTGTTGTTGGTGAGTAAATAACAGTGTGTTATTTAGAAAAGAATAACAAATTAGAAGGAAAAAAGATTTAAAAAATACAGATTTCAGTATCCTGAGGCTCTGAGCCCCATTTATTTTCCTCACAGACGACAACAAAAGTCCGAAATTATACGATTTAAAATAAAAACAATAATCGTGGCTTGATATTGAGTAAGAACATGTTTTTATGAACCACACAGCTTCCCGTCTTCCACGACCCGACCGGAGAAAAAGACGTGCTGCAGGCACGAAACACATTACCAGTAGAAATACATTGCTTTTAAAATCGTTCTGTGTGACACGAAAAAAAGGGGAAAATGGTGTTGGTGAACACGAATCAATAGATTAAATGTCGTGACTATAACACGAAATGCCGTGAGACTGGGTTGAAATGTCATGACAACACGGGGTGTTAAATATGTATATTTTAGAAGATCCTCCGCAGCAAGTGCAAAGCTTACTGCTGACTAAGATTATATTTAGCATACTTTGAAGGCTACTTTATTTTGTAAAAACTAATACATTTTGAACTGAACATAAGATAGTTGTGCTGCGTTATCAAAGGCAGAACAAAAAAAGTATGAGTATAATTGACGGGAGCAGACAGTTCTGCTGCATTTCCTTTTATCTTTTGGTTTCCATACCTTGGCTTTTTTTCACTGGGCCCTTGGAGACCTGGTTCCTTGATACGAATAATTTTTTTAGTCAATCACAGCAGCTCGTGGAAGCAGGTAGAGGAAGGGTTTCAGGTGTCTCCCTGAAGTATAGGACTTCCCTCTGAGACTAAGGAAGTGTTTGAGTTTCTAGCAGCTGCCGGCTAAGAGCTCTGCCCACCACCGCAGGGGCCAACAGGAAGCTGGGTCGAAGCAGCTGAGGCTTTTATCTGGAATGATGGGCATTATCCCTGCGGGGCCCGGCTCATGCCACCCTGGGGCTGTCATGCTGACTGTTTGTTTTCAGAAGCTGCCGGATCCCAGCTTCCTCCGCTCCTCGACAAAGTCTCAGCACTAACCTTATTGGGATGCTTGTTGAGGGTGTGATTTGATTTATTCTGTGTGTGTTCTGCTAAGAAGATTCAATGTAGGCAAACTGACAAAAGATGAGGATTCAAGGGCTGTGGTCGAATACATGCTATGTGTTCTCTAAACCACTGTTCATTGACCTCGTTGGAAAACGTCATGAGGTGAAGGAAAGATAAAAAGGCGGAAAAGGTCTTCATTTATTATTTATAAAGGAACTCTATTTTTAACTCTTATAAAAAGAGTACATTGACAACCTCAATGCTCTACAATCATTCATCCTTAAAGAATCTTAAAATGTATAGATAAGAGTACGATTTAACAGAAAAGACAGATGATTACAAATGGGGTGTCACATAAAATGTTGCTGCAGCAATGAATTTTGGGACAGCATTATCTCCTTTTCTTTGGTAAAGGGTGGTCCAGTATACCTTCCGCTCAAGGAGATAAGAAAGGACACACTGAAGCCCCTTTCCTTAGAATAACAAGCTCTTATCATGGCTTCCAGTTCCCTCAGCCAGAAAAAATACTTCTCAAACTGCAGTTTAGCTTCTTCTCTCTGAGATGCTGCTGTGTTTGGTGTTAATTCGTCTGTCTTCCTCTGCTCCTGATGTCCAGGTCTGGTATATGGATGGCTACCATAACAATCGCTTTGTGCGGGAGTACAAGTCGATGCGGGACTTTATGACATCGGATAACTTCACGTCCCACCGGCTGCCCCACCCGTGGTCAGGAACAGGTCAGGTGGTCTACAACGGCTCCATCTACTTCAACAAGTTCCAGAGCCACGTCATCATCAAGTTCGACTTCCGCACCTCCTCCATCAGCAAGTCCCGGCAGCTCGACTACGCCGGCTTCAACAACGCGTATCACTACGCCTGGGGCGGCCACTCCGACATCGACCTGATGGCGGACGAGGGGGGGCTGTGGGCTGTCTACGCCACCAACCAGAACGCGGGGAACATCGTCCTCAGCAAGCTGAACCCCAGCACGCTGCAGATCATCAAAAGCTGGACCACCAACCACCCCAAAAGGAGTGCCGGCGAGTCTTTTATGATCTGTGGGACGCTCTACGTCACCAATGGCTACTCTGGAGGCACCAAGGTGTATTACGCCTACTCCACCAACTCTTCTACTTACGAGTACATCGACATTGCCTTCCAGAATAAGTACTCGCATATCTCGATGCTGGACTACAACCCGCGTGACCGAGCCCTCTACGCCTGGAACAATGGCCACCAGGTTCTCTACAATGTCACACTGTTCCACGTTATCAACTCAGAAGAACTGTAACTGCGGAAAAATGGATTACATACATAAATACATATTGTCTTTGTAGAGATCTCCCTATACACAAAAATATACCTGCGAAAGAAAAAGACTATGGCGAGACCATTCTATTTATAATAGCACATTTTACTGAAAGACTGCATCAACAGTGAATGTACTGAAAATAAAAGTAAAATTAAAGTGTTTCATTCCAAAATGTGTTACAAAAAAGAATTGCTTCATCAGTTCATATCACAAAATCCTAGGTGATTGTTAATAAAACAGGACTGTTTTATATAGGTCTTACTGTAATATAACTTTGAGCATAGTAGACTTTATTTTATATCATTTTCTTAGAGGTATTTTCTTTTGGAATGAAACTCTTTCATTATTTGCCTCATAGAAAATGATTGTAAAAGTAGTAACATATCAGATTTAAAAGAATAAGAACAGATGCCAAAAAAAAATATCTTCACGCCTTTTTTTATATTTTGGAGTATCAACTCAAGCTCATTCCTGTGGCTCCGGTTCTTCTGTAGAAATCCTCCCAGCTGAACTTTATTTTGGTCAACGGGGGTCCAGAAACGAAGACTGTGGTTAATAAACTGTTGGACCCCCGGGTTCCATGGACAGATAGAAAGGTGGGAGGTCAGTCTAGTCAGAAGACTTGATGGCCTAATGGGTGAGCTCTGTCATATCGTTTTTATCCAGTACAGTAGCAAATCAAAAGTCTGTAGAGAAACAGCAAACAACAATAACAACATCTACTAAAAGACCTGAAGGCACTGACTGTTGACGGCGCTGTTGTTTGAGATGAATTTCCTGTGTTAGTGACTATGTGTGAAAAAGGCTTCCTTTGCATGAGTGTTTTCGATCACTCCGGTCTGCTCTTCTGAATGTCTTTTGCTGTATGATACTAAAAAAAGGGGGAGGGAGTGGAGGGGGAACAAGGTGGAATACCTTTGGGATTTGAGGATTTGCTGAGATCTTTACTTTTCTCCTGCTTCTTTATATATCCTTGTTGTTTTGTTTATTTTCTATTTCTTTGCAATTATTTTCCTTTCGAATGTTCTTGTATCACTGTAACTGTTGGCACTGGTTTTGCGTCTTTGTATTTGTTTATTTGGACTGTGTGGGATGAATCTATCTAGCTCACATCTCAGAAGTAAAAAAAACAAAAACAGAATGTATCGAGTATTGTATCCTGGGAACCTGGTCCTCCTATCTTCATGCGCCTATAGGGAGAGCTTTTTTTATTTATAGAGGATAATCCTGTCTCATGTCATGTTTCCCCCCACTGCTAGTGAAGGATAATGCTGTTTTAATGTATACCCTTGCAGAGGACAAAAGCTTTTCACTCTTTTTGTGCTTTGCTGGACATAATGTTGTATCTAAGATGAGATAGTTAATGATTCGTGTCAATAAAACAGAGAAATCTGCTGCTCCGATTGTTGCCTTAGAAAAGCTATAAGCTGCCATGTGACTGCACACTTAGTGAAAAATTGTTCATATGGAGATCACTTAAGCATCTAAGCTAAGGCTCCTATTTCCTGCCTTTTGTGTCATCCGCCATTAAGATTACAGAGAGCTGATGTTCTTTTGTAGAATTCGTGGAAAAGAGTATAGCCATTAGCTTGAAGTGGCTAACGATAGCATCCTTTAGCTTTGTTGCCACAGAGGGCTAATTTTCCTGCGTCTGAATTTATTATTTTCCTACCATCAAGTTCCTTCCCCTCGACAAACAATACATATCAAGCATTTTAAGGTTGTATTGGTTGCTAAAAAGAAGTGAAAACATTGCCCACACTATTGATTCATATTCAGATGACGTCTCGGCCCTCAGGCCTTCTTCAAGAAAAAAAATGTTTCAGTTGCTAAACAAGTCTTCTAAACTGCGAGGCATTTATGTCATCATCTAAAAGTATTATGACTTGAAAGAACCCTTTGTGTGGTTTGCCTCACTTGACATTCCTTTTGTACGTTGTGATCTCTTCTTACTAATGCAAAATTGTCCACTTTTTGTTCACTCAACAATTTTCTCTCCTTCTTTGATCTTAACTCAATTTCCTTCACCGCCTCCCCAGCCCTTTTTTCCCCTCTCTTATCCTCCAGCCAGTCTATCTTTCCCGCTCTTTGTTGCTCCCACTCCCTCGCTGCCTCTTAGTCCTCTGATGTTTCAATCGATGAATAAATGATTGCTTCTATTTTCACTCAGAGTGCTTGGCCAACACAGGCTGCTTTGCTCCCCAGACAGAGATAGAGCACGCAGAGAGAAACACGTTTGGCGGAAGGTCTCGAAGCGTATGGCATGAGGAGCATCTTAAAGCGGTGATTGGCGTATCAAGAGACATAGCAGCACTCGTTCTAGTCCCAGTCCCCCACACCCCCGTCACACGCATACACTTGTGATCCTGACAGTTGCATCTCATTTCATCATTTTGAACGTTGCATTTCTTTTTTCATTTCTGCACCAATGTCTTGTTTACTCCAGACTGCACTAGTGTTATTATCTCATGCACCCTTGCCCTCTAAATGCCAGGACCACTGCAGCAGCACTTCTGGGAGAAAAGGACGGACACAGTGAGAGTTTGACCTTGCTTTGGCCAGCTGTAAGGTCCATCCTTGTCGCAAGGACAAAACCACTTATCAGTGATAGAAAGCTAAGCGCGTATGTGCCAACAGGAGGGTTGCAGAAATGTTGCAGAGCACTGCAGTTTACAAGTTATACTGCTGCAGGAAAAGTGATGGCGTGTTGTCATGATTGTATACGTTTCCTGACACCTTCTCATATCATTTCCTTTGAGACTGACTTCAGGTGTCTGGCCTCTTTGTACATTTGAAAGTTGGCTTATGTATCCTTGAGAAGTTTGACACTGGCATTACAGCAGCTGACACAAACTGTTATTTCAAAATCCCCATGACTTATCTCTGCAGCTGCATTGGCGCTTAACAAGTGCAAGACGTTGCAACAAATCTATTTCAAATGATTTGGGGAGAGGTGAACATACACCAAAACAGCAAGGGGAACATTGATCATAACTTCACTTAACAGGATATTAGATTGGCAACATATGAAGTATTTGTTGAAGCACAGCATTGCAGGTGTGCTTGCATTACTAACTCAATTGACATCACGTGTAGTGACTAATTCATTAGCTGCTGAATATTAACATCCAATCATATTCCAACAGGTGTGTGACCTGTTTGAATATAAACTCTCCCTTCTCTGTAGTCCAGAACACTATGTAAAAGCTTTTTGCGGCTTTTTTAAACCAAGGTCATATTGAGTCAATTCATGGAAATTCAGATTTTGAACCAGCTCTCTGTGCCTTGACTAGTTTATTTAGAGGTGTACCTGTAATCACTATCACAACCTGCATTTAGATGTTGGTGTCAAGTGCTTTACTTCAGAAGGTCAGACTCACTCGTGAATTTGAGAATTTCAATGATACTACAGCCAATTTAAAACTATAACCTTGCTTTTAGTTTAACAGTTTTATTTCATTTTAGAGACACAATGGGTTTAGTTTCCCCTTTACTCTCTGAGATCCAGCAAATAGTTAAGGTTTTTATTTAGCAGTAATAACATTTCCACAGCCTAGGACCTGCCCCGCACTCAGGCAATTACTGTGAGGCCTTTCAAATGTAACGCAGGGTGACACACACCAGCAGTTTATTTTTTATTTTCCATTACGAAACTTTCCATTCAGGTTCATCACAACGGCAGCGTAAAAAAAAACAATTGAAGCCTGGGCCTCACATTTTCTTTGTAGCTGGGAGCAATCTCCAAAATAAAACTATTACAAGCCCGGTGTGGGTTGGATTAACAGCCGATAACAAATCAATACAACCATAACAAATGGGACTGGGGGAGAAAAACAACAGCAATAAAGACAATTCATTTTAATTACATTGCAATAAAAAGGCAAAGTAAAAATAACTCAGTTGTCCCGTTTGCAATTCTCAGTGCAGCAGGTTTTTCTTTTACAATTGTGTCCTTGTCAGCAATTCAGCACCTGCTATGATGCTAAATCTCTCCTTGATTTGCATTTTTTTTAATGCACTGTTATCACAAGGGTGCGTGTACGCATACTATACTATACAGCTGGTTGTACTTCATATAGACACCACACAAAGACAAACAGATTTTTCGTACTGCATACAAAATTAGATTACAAAGCTTTTTTTTGCTTTTTTCTGCAAAATACACTTATCTTGTGAAAGAGATGTCTGTAAATAAGTATGCTTTTTTCCCTCTGTAATTCAAATTTTCCGTACAAACTCTTAGACTTAGATTTAATCATGACCTCAATCTTCACCTGCTGCTTTACATTTATCTCAAGCCATGAAAATGCTAATCATGCTATAGCTGCCAGGAGCTGTTTGTAGGGAAATAAGATAAATAAATTAACAGTAAATATTTAGCAGATACGTTCGGTATGAAAACATTTTCAATATGGTTTTTTTAATCTTTTAATCTGCGAAGCAAATTGTTATTTCAAAACAGATTTGCTAATGCAAATAGATTTCAAATGAATACGTATTTTTTAGGAAGTCGACAATCCTTACTTAGGTTTACTTATTTTACATTCTAAAAATCCATTAAGGGTGACAAAGTGTATAACATTTTCAATTGAGACTTTCTCACATTTACAAAATGTTTGCCACATGTATCTACATTAAAGACAAAGTTAATTAACAAGATATATCTTTATGTCATTGATAAGTATTCAGACCCTTTGCTATAGAGGCTTCTCAATACTCAAATTTCCCCTCCTCGACTCCTCGGTCCTCCGGTAGTGACCCGGAAATGGATTTCAGCGCGCCATGTTGAAGGACATTTCATTTCTCTAAATGCACACCGAGGATCGAGCGTCGAGGAGGCTCTCTGGAGGAGCTCTAACCGAGGATACACTGATGGTTCCTCCACGGCTGTATTTCCGGGAACGGTGGAGGCGTGACGCACGGCCGGACTTATCTCAGCCAATGACAGCTCTGCATGCATCCTCTGGATATTATTTTAGAAACTGCTTTCATCGCGTCGCGATGTTTCCAGAGAGAACAGCTGTAAGGTCCATGCAGAAAGCACAGCAGTGTGTATAATATCACTCAGTATAACAGGCCTATACTCTCTTTATTTGCTTTAGTTTAGTAGATGTGCTCACTGCTCTCATACTTTAAATTGTATATATTTATATAAATATATTTGTGTGTGTGTGTCCGCATCTGTAGCCTGTTATTGTCTCATTATACCGCACTCTCAATGAATTCAAAGTAAATATGTGGGGGAACAATGTTCAGCTGATCTAACAGAGATACAGCGCTATGACAAAACACTCGACAGCTGATGCAGCTGTTGCCACGTAATAATGAACGGACGTCGCTTTAATATGACCGCTCAGAGGAGAGGAGTTCTCATTTCTTTAAACGTCTGCTGCTTCCCCTTCTCTCTCCTCGGTTCCCCTCCTCGGTCCTCCGCTCGCATCTCCTGTGGGCGGGACTAAGTCTCGAGGAGGGGAGTCGAGGAGGGGAAATGTAAGAATTGAGAAGCCTCTTAGGTCACTGGAAATTGAGCTCAGGTGCCTCTCATTGCTCTTGATCACCTTTGAAATGTTCCTGCACATTGATTGAAGTCAACCTAAATTCATCTGATTGCAAAAGGCACACACCTGTTTATATAAGGAAGCTCCTGACAGTGCAGGTCCGATTTAAAACTGTGCATGAGGTCAGAAGACCTGGCTGCAGAGCACCGAGACAGATTGTGTTGAGTCATAGATTTAGGGAACTTAGAAGGCATATGAAGGGGTGCAAAAAGAGCAGTACTTTCAGACTGAGATATACATGTTTTCATCTTGTCTAGATGAAACCAATATTCAACCGTTTGGCCTCCATCTTTAGAGTCATGTCTGCAGGAAGGCAGGCCCTGCTGCAGTGGTGAAGCAGTGGAGGCAGTATTGTGTGGGTGTTTTTTCAGCAACAACACATGTGGTGTGGTTTAGAGACAACTCTGTTAATGTCCTTGAGTGGCCTAACCACAGCCTGGACTTGAACTCAATCAATCATCTCTTAAAATACCTGAACATGGCTGCCCACAAACAACCTGACAGAAATAAAAGTAACATATTTTAGGTTCTGGTAATCTTGCCATTTATCATCACAACAACTTTACATTTCGCCTAAAATTACAAACCGTTGTGGTTGATATTGACACATGCATTTGTTATAATTATGAACACACTTTGCTGATGTAGTGTGCCCTAGAGCTGAATCTGTCTTACAAAAGGGACAGAAAACTAGGAAGGAGTGGATCCGAATGAATTTTACTGCAACAAAACCACAGCCAAACATAAAGCAAGACATGGCAAATCAGCTGTTACTACTAACCAGGTTTTATTGCCTTCTCACCCAGCTCGAGTTTAATATGAAAACAGGTTTGAATACTTTGTGAA